GAAAGCCATACATCTGAGATTTAATTAAGAAATTACTTTGATTGTATTAATTTGTTAAAAAAGGCAAAAAGAAAGAGAAAAAAAAACCTCCTATAGTCGGCTCTTTCATCCACAGTTAACGAACACTGAGCTTGGAACAATACAACGAGATTGTTCCAATTACATTTATCTGGGATTTCCATTTGTCATGAATGAATAAATACATAGAAATCAGCGTGGCTTCAAAAGCTCTTAACATGAGAATCAGAGCAATTCATAATAAGACAAACAAGTGATGACGCTGCCTGACATGGGATGAAAATACGTTTGATTTAACGTCACACTTTGAATTTTTTAGGTTGTCTTTTAAATTTCATTCCTTTCACAGTAGTTTCCAAAACTTCTCTGGAGCGCCCCCTGTTGTGGATATAGCCATTATCAATGTAATTCATAAAAAAGTACAGTAAATCAAATCACAAATTGGTGCATTTCCCCACTGTGGACTGAATTAAAACAAAAATGGAATTGAAAGTAATTTGTGCCACACACAGGGGCCCGCCCCCCGCTTTGTGAACCACTGCTTTACTGAGTAATCTGGTCCAAACAGAAGCAGGACACTTGTGGAGGTTTGTCCACACAACACAGAGGAAGTGGCTCTGTCGTAAAACAGATTAGTCTGTTACTGGCACAGCCTCCACTCTGTGTGTGTGTGTCTGGCGTGTGTGTGTCTGGTGTGTGTGTGTCTGCGTGTGTGTAGTCTGATGAAAACATACAATAGATGGGCTAAATCTCTAACATCATCGTCGTTTTGCAGAGACGCTAAATTCGAAAAGACCGTGTTCTGTCGAGATTAAGGGGATCACAGAAATGGTGTATAGAAGAGTGTTGGAGGACAAGAGTGTGTATCTGTGTGTGTCTCTGTGTGTGTGTCATCATGTACTTGAAGAGAAAGGAAAAGAATGTGAAAAAGAAGCCATGGGGAATGTTCCACTCGGCTGAAGCTGAAGCTCTCCCTTACTTTCTCTTCTGGATTTTTTTGGTCTTTTTAACACAAAGACAAATTAGAGCCACTGACATGTGAAGAGTCTCTGTGATTTGTATGTGTGTGTGAGTGAGTGAGAGAGAGAGAGAGTGAGAGAGAGAACACGACAACATGAAAAAGAGATAGGGAAGAACAACAGAGAAGCTAAAGGAGGAGGGTGAGGGAGGGCGAGGGAGGAGGGGGGAGGGGGAGGGGGGTATTTTGAAAGGAAATATGAGTTTGTGTTGAGAGGGGAGCATGATATGCTCTGTGCAGTACTCTGTGCTGGGTTAGTAGGGTGGGGATGTGTGTGATTATGTCAGAGTGTGTAGAAGATGGAGTGGGAGTGAAGACAGGCAAAGTGGAAAGGAAGGAAACGGAGGGTAAGAAAAATAGAGGGAAAAACAGGGGAAGGCAGAGAGAAGGGTGGAGAGCAGCAGAGAGAGAGAGAGAGAGAGAGTGGGGGGCTGGATGTTTGTTATGAACATGTTCACGCAGCAGCAACAGGGCAACAGGAGGTGATTAAACTTATCAGTCAGTGCACACTCTTTAAACTGAGATTTTCAGGACCAATTTATTCTGGGTTTCTGTGTCTCTTTTTAGAAAAATACTTTTTGTGTGAGCACATCCCTTTATCTCCCACTCTCTCTCCCTCTGTCTCTCCCTCGCTCTCCCTCTGAACATGTGTTGGGCAGGGAGGGGGGAATCCCACACACTGCATTTGAGTCCAGGTGTCAGTGGGGAGTGTTTCCTCCCTGCCTTAGAGGGGTGTGTGCACAGAGCACAGCGATGCATGCAGTGAACAAACTACAAAAAGTTCCTGCTCGTCCTCAGTAAAACTGTAGTGAACAAAACTTAGTTAGAAAACTAAAGAAATCCACTAAAAGACAACATCAGTGAACAAAACTTAGTTAGAAAACTAAGACAACATTGGAGGAATAAACCCGCTCATGAGCGAGATCATGGTGAAGAGCTGATAAGAGTAAAGCAGCGTACTGACTGTTGGGCTACACAGCAGTAGATCTGGTTGAAAAGGTGACCACGAGTCTGTGTATAATGTCAAAAATGTTGCTTCACATCTTTGACATTTAACTTTCATGTCGGAACATTTACATCAGCGTGATGTTCTCCAGGAGAACCGCACGGTCAAACCTGCTGTAACCACATCCAAGCTAATGACCCTTCACTGTGTCCAGACCGACCACATCTGACATGTGTTCAAACACACTCTTACATGTTCTTTCAACTCTGAAAAAATAAAACACCGCTGCAACGCTGCCATCCAAGAACTGCAGTACCGGTCAGGTGGTGGTCTTCTCAGGTTTTGACTGGTGAGTTAGACTAGGCTGAGTTCAAGTCTCACCTGAACGTAGAGCAGGTTCAGCTGGACAGGGTCTCTGGAGTCCACGTTCTGGTCAGAATAGAAGAACTTGCGCCTGAGCAGCAGAGTCTCGCTCTCCTCCACCCCTTGTTCTCTGAACGTCCTGCTGTGGTCCAGCCAGTTCACTGCCCAATCAACGCACACATGGTTAGCACACGCGCCGGAGTGCATACTGACATCTATTGGCTTTTAACGGATTTTAACAGAAAAAAATGAAAAAAATGACAGAGAAATTCTTGGCGAATCTTAAAACAGCTTTTTTGATCTGCACAGATCAAACTACAGTCAGATTGGTGATTTATTTATCCACGTTTCAAAATTAAATTAATGTTCTCCGTAGTAAAGCAAACATTTTTAATAAACTTTAATATGCCAGTGCTGTAAATCAAACTCGGTCAGGAATGTACAATGTCCACACAACGGCATTGAGTTGTATTTCTTTTGATTAAATTATAAAATGGGTGCGGAGCCATCAGGATATTACCAACACTGGTGGAGGTTTTTTTTTATAAACTCAAACTCACGGTCGTCATCTGTGTGGAGTTTGGCTTTCAGCTTTTCCATCTTCCTCTCGTCTCGCAGCAGCAGCGTCCTGTCTTTCTTCAGCGTCCCGGTGCTCTCCTCCTTCTTGTCGTCCGTCGTCTCCTGGATTAGTGAGTACTCCTCATAGTTGGTGATCCCTTAGAAAATGACACATGTGACACGATTGGTTTAAAAAAGGAATTCTATTTATTCGTTATTGTACTATTCAGAAAAACAGAGCTGAAATTGAGCTAAATAAACACACAGCATGTGTCAGCAGCAGGGAACTGTTGAGCTGCATCTTCAAGTCTTTGGTTGTTTACATCAAAAAAGAACACACAGACAGATATATATATATATATATATATATATATATATATATATAGAGAGAGAGAGAGAGAGAGAGAGAGAGAGAGATTTCATTGGTTTTGAAGTCTGTTTAAAAGACATCACATATACAGTTACATAGAGCGCCCCCCCCACCACCATCCCCCACAGTCCCCTACACTCCCTCCCCACTCCCACCAAAAGCAGTAAATCATGTCAACGACGACTGGACATTCTTTATTAGGAGCCTCATACGTGCACCTCATGCTCCGTACGCACAATTCTTACCCTTCCTCCTCATTGGCCTGTCCATGAACCACATGACCACATCTTTTCACATTTAGACCAGTAAGCGCTCCACATTTCACTTTGAACAACTTAGTTTGTTCCTAAACTTTACAAATTGGAAAGTGATAAATAGATTTGTTTCCAATTGTTGGAATCTCTTGGAGAAAAATTGAAAAAAAGTGAAAGCTATAAAAACATGTATTGCCTGATGAGGTCACATGACAGCTTTGGTCAAGAGTGAAGCAGTGGAAGTGACACTGACGCCTGCAGTGAGTCTCAACAGTCTTAACCCTGCTCTATTTTGAATATAGTTTGACGTTCATCAAGAAAAACAATGTACAGCAGCAGGAAATACTTAAGAACAAGAAGAACCAGGAACTGTAGAAAACATACCTAAATATCACAAACCGAGAACTGGTACTTTTGTTCATTTACAGTGATAAGGACCTTATATAGAATCAGAATCAGTGGAGACTCAAATATGAACAGCGGCGACCTGGACCAGTCTGTTTTTCACAGGACTTTCATCGTGGTTTTTCAGATTGAACCTCCCGTCAATCACTCTGACCTGAGTATCTGCCTGGACCTCAGGTTCTTCTGTTTTCTCCAGACTCTTTACTTGGTCCACTGTGCTTTAATCTTCAAGTTAACGACCCGTTCTCCAAACAGAATCCTTTTTTTCCTTCTATTGTCAGTTTCTCCGCCTTTCAGATGCCACTTAGAGAAACAACAATTTAAGATTCTCGAAATGGTTGCTGCGTTTTTGGTCTATTTTATGGTGGAAACATGGCCTCAGCAACAAAGAGAGTAAAATGTTGAATCTTTTTTTTCTTCCCTGGAAATAATCTTCAAGTTTTTCTTTTGTTTGGTTTTATTTCTTTAAAAACAAATGTCAGCAGTTTCCACATAATGACCACCTTAACTTTATATATTTAATTTAAAATAATCATGTTTATATGAATGCATGCCATATGGTGGAACATTACAATATTCAGCAGACCTAAACATTTAGTAGACAGCAGCAGTGGCCTGAGGCGCCTGTGTAAAGTCTGCAAACTAATAATATACCATCTACACCAATCAGAGACCAGTGTATATCACAGTGTTTCAAACACAACCAGAACAAAATTAAAGCTTGATTTACTTCAGGAGCAGGACAACTAGGTTAAGACTTTAAGAGAGAAAAATGTCACACTGTTTTAAAGCACCATTTGGATTCAGTAAAAAAAAAACAATCAGGGAAGAAATAACTTTTCTAGGAGAAATATTTCAGTTAATTGAGACATAATATATTGGAGACCAATTGTTTAAAAATACAGAAACTAAATAATTATCCATTTTAAATTTTTTTGTGTTTTAAGGATTTGCCTGTGACTTCGCCAAGCATAAATGAATGCACAACATTGAATAGGAAATGTTGCTACTGTTTTTTGAAAAACAAATGTAATTAATAGCAGCACACAGTACCATAAGGTAAAGTCAGGTTCTGTGCCGCGCACTAAAAATAATTCAGAGACTGAATAATTCAAGCCTCAGGTGACGGCTTGTCAAGATTTCTAGCAGCAACGTGGAGCAGCCATCTCTTACCGATTCTGCTGCAGATGGTGACGAGCAGCTCGCCGACTGTTTTGGAGTCGTCGACCATGATGGTTTTAATTGCACCATCCAGCATCTTGATCTTCTGGGGCCTTTGCTTCTTTTTATATTCCAATATATCCTGGGAAAAAACAGAAAAAAAAGTCATCACAATAATCTACAGCAGTGCCTGCATTAGTGTTTGCTGTTGAGCTGCTTTATTGAATATTAATTAAAAAATCATAAAATTAAGGTGTCAGGAGTTTTTTCTTACCCCATTTCTCAGCATGTAGTAATCAAGGGTTCTTCCTGATTCGAGCCAGATTCCTTTTCTGGGATCATCATCAGACAAGAAGAGCCCATAATCTGAGGCTAAGAAAAGACAAAAAGAAAATCCAGGTGGTTTCAAATAAAGATATTATTAACACTTCAATATTAATCCAAGGCCGTGTATCTGTGTGTTATCCACACACCTTGTCCCGTCTGGGCTTCTGGAACTCTCTCCCTGATGATACGACAGGCATCGTAGACTGGAGTGGACGGTTCAAACTGCATGGTCTTCACCACATTGCACTGGCGGACGCAGATCTTTAAGGATAAGGCCACCATCTTGACAAGTAGCTTCACAGGTCTGGCGACCTACACACCTAGAAAACAAGCAAGTAAAGACTCAGTTTATCATAGAAAATAAAACCTGTCAAAGAATTAAAGAGTCATGAGGAAACTCTGGTTCGTCCTCTGTCTGTTTTTTTCCTCTGTTTTGTACAATTCTGACCTTTACTGACCTTTAACCAATCTGAAGTTGTTTTTTTTTGTTTTTGACCTTTATCAATTTTCTTTCCAGAATATAAATTGGCTCTCTTACAAACCCTTTCCATCTATTGCCTACAGTTATTAGAACAAAGTGAAGCCAACTTGTTCATATAGCACACTTAAGAGATAGGCAGACGTCATACTGAGGTCAAAATAAACAACAACAAAACAAAGCAATGGCCCAAACAATATAAAGGGATGGAAAAGTGAAAAATCTGATGTTCATTTTAAAACATCACAGCGTCACCTGTCTAACCCTACATGTCAAAGGGCGCTCCATAACTGTAATACATCATGTAGCACTTCATCTACCTTGAACCCATCTGCCTCTATGACTGCGCAGCACCTCACTCTAGATCCAAGGGTCCACATCGTCTCTTCCTGAACTACTCTTTACCAACAGTTCCATCCTTCAGTATTTTTATGTTGTTCAATATGGCTCACATTTCCAGTTACAGTTCCTTGGTACTGTTTTGCTCGGCGTGTGCGTCACTACAGCCCTGTCTAAGCAGCTCCTCCTTCTCCCCCACTGCTCTGATAATGAGAGGTTAGGTGCAGGATGTGCATCTGCATTACTGCAGTGTGTGTGTGTAATTAACTGGACCGAGGCGTCATTCAGCAGAAGAAGAGCGCAAATATTTTTAATCAGCCAAAAATAGGGCAAGAAGAGTCACGAGAAAGAAGAAAATATTTTACTCTCCCTATTAATCAAACTCCACTGTGAGACAAACCGCTGGCTGTTTCATCACTAACTGCCATGAGACACGTATAGGGGGAAAAAAACGAAGCAGAGGCTGATACTGCAGAGCTCACATCCTCCTTTTTGACCTTGGCTTAAAGAGAGAGAGAGAGAGGAGTAAAGGTGAAAATCATCAATAACAAGGATGAGCTCTGACTCCTTATACATTAAAAAATAAAAAAAATGTGTTCTTTTTTTACCTTTTGTGTGTGATCATTGATGCTTTCACGATGTGATTATGATGTTAAAATTTATAGCATAAACCAATTGACAAAAACAGTAGGTGAGGTGCAGCCCCACTTTAATCTGAGAAAAGTCTGTGAAAACATATCAATTTTCATTTAAAATAAACACGAAAAAGCTTAAAGTGTAACTGCATAGTTTAGATTTATTTTTGGGTTTGCTGAACCTCTCGTTGTATGTGTCAGCTCCAAACTCTACTCTGACACTAAAAGAATTTTATTTTTTCCAGAATGCTTGGATGTGAGGCCAAAGGTCAAACCTCCACACTGACACAATTCAGATCTCAGTCAGAAACTGAAACAAAGACGTTTTTGTGCTCAACATTCACATCTCATCCACAGTTGCAGTGGCCACAGTCTAAGTAAATGTCCTGTAATGTAGTTGTGAATAAGTCCGCCAGTGGATGTCGTTCCGTCCCGGCTGCGGGCTCCTCCACAAAAGCTTCTCGTCTTGCCTGAATTTCTCTTCATACAAAATGAGGAAGACAGGCACAAAGACGTGAGGGTAATGGCACCACATGAGCTCTCCTTCTGCACAGGCTGACGGAGAAGCCCCACAGAGTCTTTGTCATCCGGCTCCTGCCTCAGATACTCTCTTCTAGACAAACAGCTTGAGGCCTCAGACTTCAGACACACACACACACACACACATTTGTCATTTCCAAATGTCCTTATGTTTTCAGAGATTCCAGGTACCGTATATTACTGCAGGTTTACAGTTGATGTAAGCCTCTCCATCTTGTCTGAGTCTCGTCGCCCACTCTCCAAAGATGTTTGGTTCATTTGGTTTATGGAAGTGAGCAAGCACAATATGCACAGCAGTCCAGGAGCAAATAATAAAATTCAGCCAAAAACCTCTACAGTCTACAGGTGGCGATCTGACTGAAACGAATGCCAAATGGATTGTAAAAGACCATAGACTGAATAATATTGTTGAGGACAACGGTCTTCACCAAAAAAAATTTTTTTAGTCAACCAAAAATGTCTTGACCTCCTTGCAGTACCTCCCTGGATCCTCCAAGAGCAACAGCTGAAAACATCTGTCTGCTGCACAAAACAACAACCCAATATGTGATTCAATGACATATTATTATTTCTACCATATTAGACAGGTGTATAAATGTGTGTTTCCACAAAAAGCATTTTTTCTTTCTTGAATTTGAAATGTGTTTCAAGACATGAAATTGACCAGAGAATGAGCAGAGACAGAAACACAGGTGCCATCTGGACAGAACTGACTGTCAACAGTGGACACAAGGCCCAGAGTAATGCAGTGGTCTTTTACCATTTAACAGGGAAATGCAACAGTGTTTGTCCATGGCTGAGGAGTTTGTTTGGACCCTTTGTCCAAGTGCTTCAAATGAAGCCGCAAATTTGGAACCCAACGACCCTGGACATAAAACAGGGAGTGGAAGAGAATGAATAACATCTTTTCAAGGACATCCCTGCAACAATGCTGCTGCAAAGCCATGCCTCAATTTTGTGGTTTTCATTTGATCAATAGCCGAGTAAATGCTGCTGTGTTTGTCATCCTGTGAGAAATGAGAATGTGGGGTTCGCACAGACCTGGGTCAGATGTTCTGAAAGAGATTTTCTCCCGGTTACAGCTGTGATTTCCAATTGTGAAGAACACAAAAGTTTCCCTACCACTGCTTTAAATGCTTTCAATGCAACAATACAAATGCATCATGACTGCCAGCATTACACCAACTGCCCACTGCAATTTGTTTCTGTCTCTGAATATTTTATCTTCAATCACATCCTACAAAATCAGGATTAACGGAAGGAATAAAGAACATAACAGAAACAAGTAATTAGGGATCGTGTGACCTTTCTGACCCCGTGCAATCAGAGGTAATGAGTGCAGAGAAAAACCAGCGATTGTGAACAGAAAAAAATCAATAACAAATGCATAATGTATTTTCTTAATTGTTTTAAACCCCTAAACCTAAGCCATCCATCTGTATGTCTCATTACTGCTAGGACTTGTCTGAAATTACACCTGGACACAAATGATACTAAAGGCTAAATAATAAAAATAATAATAACTAAACCTCATACTAAAGGCAAGTTTAAATATTCTGTAGGCTACATCAGCAGAGCAATGCTAAAAAAAAAAAAAAAAAAACTGTAACAATTTGTGAAGTGAAATCATCAGCACAGCACAAATAAACAGCCTGTTAGGACACAGGCATTTACACAACGGCTGCAGCATTTACCCCACAATTACACTGATATCTCCAGCCTGGCCGGCTATTATGAGAAAATATAAGTGAGCAGTACTGTACGTCAGCCGCGCTGAGTGAACGTCTGGCGTAAATTTAACGATTGTCATGCACTGCTAAAAACAGCAGGACCAAATCATGTGTGCATTGACAGAATGCTAATTGGCTCAACGTCTCTAAAGTCCGGGTCCTCTCTCTTCCTCTGCTCTACGTCCTCCTGCACTGACAACCTTTTATCTCTGTCTGTTTGAAGGCAAGGTCAGGTTCCTGCACGGCCTCAGTATTTCTCCAGGGAGCATTAGGTTTTCCTGGAACACAACAACAGTCCAGCTGAGGGTCATATAACACCAAAAAAGCATGGGTCGTTTTAGCTCGGCATGAAAAATGTTTCAACTCCAGAGGTTTAGGTTCACTGTTATTGTAATTTCTGTACTGATTTATTTACATCCGCACAGATTTTGAATCAATTTATTCCTTTATATATTCATTTATTTTCAATGGTTTTAGGTCTCAGACTGAGCTGGAACCAGTCCATATATTCATTTATTTTCAATGGTTTTATCCGGCCTCAGACTGAGCTGGAACCAGTCAAAGAAGACAAACAAATCTTGGTGGTCCACACAAACAACCTTCACATTTATGTGGTCAATACCGACAGTATAGTAAATGTAGAGTTGTTTTAAAACAGTGGCATGTAATAAAATATATTTAATCACATACATTGTCCTGGAATAAGAATAACTTAGTATGTGTGGTGAAAATCCACTTTTTTTAAATTCACCTCGCCGCTCTGACCCACTCTGTGTGTAACATGGTGTGTAAAAATACGATATGAAGATATAGAACATGACAGAAATTATGGATCTTCTGCTTGTTGTTGCAGGGAGAGAAAGTGAAGCTCCTCTGGCACTAAAAACATCCAGCAAAGTGGAGCATCCACCAGCATCAGCACCATTTCACCAGGACTCCACAGACCTCATTTATGGGAAGCCTGTGTGTGTGTGTGTGTGTGTGTGTGTGTCATTAAATCATTTAGAGTGTTAAAAACAAACAGGTTATTTAGAGCCAATTATATATTTTATTCTGTTATTGCTTTGTTTTGGCTTTACCTTGATGCTTTGTACATAATGTGGTCAATTTGGAACTCTCTGACCAATTTGTTACAACATTCAGCTTGGACCTAACAATTAATGACTGAAAAAGGTAAAATAGTCACTGAATATCCAGCTATTCTTTGTTTAAGAAATGGCCTCTTCAATGAAATCAGACAGAGAGCTGAGGGAGAGAAGAACAAATGAGCATCTGGAGTCTGTCAGTCAATGAACTGGTGCTTGATTCCCTCACTTCCTCAGTGTCAGGGGTTGGTTGTGAGCAGACACAGTCACATAACATCCAAGGACCAGGACTTTATAACAATATTTTCCCTTATGCTGCAGATCAGTCTCCAGATAGAACTGTAAATCTGTTTTGACCAAAGACGCGCTGCATTTTAAGGCAAGCCTTATTTCTTCTTAAGAGCAAGAAATAAAATATACAAAAAAAAAGCAGAGCAATGAATCTGTTTGTAATTTCACGGCAGTCGTTTTACTTATTCCCGTTGTTCCAGAGATAAATATTTTATATGTAAG